CTGTCTTCCCTCTTAGGCTCCCCTTCCAATCAAGTCTGGCCAGCTCCTTGCTCATACCTTTCTAGTTATTTTAACTCAATTGTAAAATAATTACATCTGATTCAAGATTCTCCTTCTCAAACTGCAGGGTGAATTCTATAACATTTTGGTCACTGCCTCCTAGGGGTTCCTTTACCTTAAGCTCCCTCAACAAAACTGCCTTATTACACATCACGAAATCCAGAATTGCTTGTTCCCTAGTGGACTCTACCACAAGCTACTCCAAAGATACACCATCTCATAGACATTCTATAAATTCCTTTACTTGAGATCTGCTACCAACCTGATTTTCCTAGTCCACCTGCATATTGAAGTCCCCTATGATTATTGTAATAGTGCCTTTCTTCCATGTATTTTCTATCTTCTGATTCAGTTTCTTCCTCACATCCTGACTACTGTGAGGAGGCCTGTACACAATCTTCATTAGGGCTTTTTTTTCCCTTTGCGGTTCCTCAGTTTTACCCACATAGATTCTACACATTCTGACTCAACATCATTTCTTGCTATCAAGTTAATTTCACTTCTTACTACAAAGACAAGCCTGCCTCCTCTGCCCAGTTGCCTGTCCTTTCAATAGGACATGTATCCTTGGACATTTAGTTCACAGCCTTGATCTCCATGCAGCCACATGTCTGTGATACCCACAACATCATTGCTGAGCTGCTCACTCTTAAGGAATGCTTTTACCAACTTATGTCTGATTTGTAGATTTGACGAACTGGAAAGCTGAGAAGTTGAGTCAAAACTTCCAAGCTGTATTTCCACAGCTGTTCACAAGACTAGGATAGTTGATGACAGGAAGCCACATCATGCTACATCCTGAAATGAAACCAGTCTTTCTGTTTACATGCAGAAAAATTCCTCATCCACTCTTGCAAAGTTAAAGAAGGAAATTGGCTCAATGGATTATTTCACCCATGATGGAAACATCAAGCTTGTGCTTGGAGATGGTTCTAATACCAAAACCCAATGGATTGATCAGAATCTGCGTAGCTCTTACACAGCTGAGTAAAACAGTTGAACACCAATTTCTTTCTAAGTAGTCTGCAGACAAGAGCTTGAAAAGAATTGGGGAAGAGTTCAATGCTCATGAAGCGCATGCAAATAACGGTTTTTGACAACTGCCCCGAGATGAAGAATCTAAGTTGCTCACATTCTTCATTACTCTGCAAAATTTTGCTTCAAAGGATTAAACAACAGCATTACATCAGGACCAAAAATCTTTCACAGGACAGTGTCAAGATCCTTGAAGGACTGGATATCACATGGATGATGTGCTGATCCACAGATCCATACAGACAGAACCTGGCACGAGGCAATGAGTTGCGCTACAACACCTCCAGGAAGCAGAACTAATAATCAACAGTGAATGCAAAGTCTCACAGCTAACTGTCAATTTCATTCAGCAAATTGTGGATCAACCTGAAGTTTTGAGTTCATCAATGTTGGAGAGATTGGACAAATCGAATCTTCAGTCTGTGTAGTCGTACCAAGGTGGTCTTTATTCAAGCTTGTACCAACACTGTGTGGAAGAGGCCTTACAGTCAAGCTGCAAGACACTTTGCCATTTACAACTCAAAACAACATATTTACACATTTTTGCATCACAATGGTTACATGCAACATTGTATAAAATAAACTATGTTAATCCTTTACTGCAAAAACAGGATACAGATTATTTTCTTGCAAGATGCTGAGTCCTGTAATTTCAACAGGACTTCCACTTCTGCATATTCTTCATGAGTTATGAGTCCCCACCATCTGCTCATAGCACCTAAGCCTTCCCTTATGATTAATGCTTGCGTGACTGTCTCAAGCCACACAGATGGTCTCTGAACCCGAAGTAACTGCTGACTGTATTGGGCGATGCTAACGACCTGCATTCTAGGGGTCATGTGGCATGACCTTCTTGTTCAACAGAAATAACTGCTGCTACTTCAGTTAATTGCTAATTGTTCCCTTGTATGGATATATCTCAGCAAACTGCTTGTTGTTGCCCACAAACCATTAAACTCTATTTGCCATTCCTCGGCCCACTCCCCCTCTGATGGTGAGATCCTCAATAGCAGGGATGCAAGTGTGAGGCTGGAAGGAGGTACAGTCATCAGAAATGGCAAGTTGAAGGTCAGGCTGGAACAGAACAGGGAGCAAGGAATGCCTGTTGGGTTAAATTGCACCTATTTCAATGCAAGAGGGCTGACAGGTAAGGCTGATGAACTCAGGGCATGGATACGTACATGGGGCTAGGATATTATAGCCATTACAGAAACATGGCTAAGGGAGGGACAGGACTGGCAACTTAATGTGCTAGGGTACAGGTGCTTTAGGCAGGACAGAAGTAGAGGGAAGAAGGGAGGGGGAATTGCATTTTTGCTTAAGGACAGTGTCACAGCAGTAGTCAGAGATGAAATAACTGAGGGATCATCCAGAGAGGCTTTGTGGGTGGAGCTAAGAAATAAGAAGGGAATTGTGACATTATTGGGGCTGTACTAGAGGCCCCCAAATAGTCAACGGAACAAATCAGTAGGGAGATTGGGGAGACTTGCAGGAGCAATAGGGTTGTCATAGTGGGGGATTTTAATTTTCCTAACGTAGACTGGACTGCCATAGTGTTAAGGGCTTAGATGGGCTGGAATTTGTTAAGTGTGTTCAGGAAAGTTTCCTCAAGCAGTATATAGAGGGTCCTACTCAGGAAGGGGAAAAAGTCGACCTACTCTTGGGAAATAGGGCAGGACAAGTGACTGAGGTGACAGTGAGGGAGCACTTTGGAACCAGTGACCATAGTTCTATTAATTTTAAAATAGTTATGGAGAGGGACAAAACTGGTCCACAGGTTCAAGTCCTAAATTGGGACAAGGCAAATTTTGATGGAATTAGACAGCAGCTTTCAGGGCTTGATTGGAGTGGTTAGTTTGCAGACAAAGGGACCTCCGGCAAGTGGAGGCCTTTAAAATTGTGATAGCTAAAGTATGGCTGAAGAAAAACAATGACATTCAAGTTTCACTTCTGAGCAATCTTTCTTTCACTCAGTTCTAAAATGATTTAGCTCCATGTGAATTCCTCATGGGAAGAGGACTGAGAACTCACTCCATACTCTCTCACATATACTCATGCTGCATTAACAAGATAACGTTTGAAAAATGTGATGGAGAAAGAAGATAAGTACTTCTCTAGTTAGATGTGGAACAACAAGAAATGTCACAAGGCAGTGAACCTACCAGACCTCTAAACAGCAGAGCCAGTTTGGATTTGAGACCAAACTTGTTAACAAGTGGTGAAACAGACACCACATCCACTGTCCTTCCTCTTTGAAACTGAAAATGGAATGGTTCAAGAGAACAGATGTGCACTCATTTCTACACACAAGCAGTCTTCTACACAGTCAAAGAAGTCATCAACAGTCAAATGGACCAGAGATGCTGCCTTCATCAACATGTCCAGACTTTTTTTATTTTAAAAACATACTTTATTCATAAAAAGTCATCTGAAAGTACATACAAAGATTCTAACCCAGTTCTGTCTTTGCAGAGAAAAAGAAAACAAATAAAACATTGGAATTTTGACATTTATCAGCGCTACCTTACAGTTGTAAAAACATTTTCTATTTATGCAGGATACTACTTATGCTCATTTTGAGGCAACGAGAGGGTCTGACAACTAATCGGACAACCGTTATACTTTGGCAGAAAGACCTTAAATGGTAATCTTTCCCTCGTACATTTTGGTGGTAGCTGCCCCAAGCTTTAGTGTATCCCTCGGCACGTAGTCCTGGACCTTGAAATGTGCCAATCTGCAACACTCAGTCAATGTCAGCTCTTTACTCGAGAAGACCAACAAGTTTCAGGCCGACGAAAGAGAGACAATAAGGTGATGGTCCTCCAGGCGTAGTCAATGTTTGTCTCAGTGTGCATCCTGGGCACCAACCTATAGAGCACAGAGTCCTGCATCATGGAGCTGCTCAGGACAAACCTTGACAAAAACTACTGCATCTTTCTTTGGTAACAAGGTGTAGAGCTGGATGAACACAGCAGGCCAAGCAGCATCAGAGGAGCAGGAAGGCTGACGTTTCGGGCCTAGACTCTTCTTCAGAAATGGGGGAGGGGAAGGGGGTTCTGAAATAAATAGGGAGAGAGGGGGAAGCGGATAGAAGATGGATAGAGGAGAAGATAGATGGAGAGGAGACAGACAGGTCGAAGAGGCGGGGGTGGAACCAGTAAAGGTGAGTGTAGGTGGGGAGTTAGGGAGGAGATAGGTCAGTCCAGGGAGGACGGACAGGTCAAGGGGGTGGGATGAGGTTAGTAGGTAGGAGATAGGGGTGGGGCTTGAGGTGGGAGGAGGGGATAGGTGGGAGGAAGGACAGGTTAGGGAGGTGGGGACGAGCTGGGCTGGTTTTGGGATGCGGTTGGGGGGAAGGGAGATTTTGAAGCTTGTGAAGTCCACATTGATACCATTGGGCTGCAGGGTTCCCAAGCGGAATATGAGGTGCTGTTCCTGCAACCTTCGGGTGGCATCATTGTGGCACTGCAGGAGGCCCAGGATGGACATGTCATCTGAGGAATGGGAGGGGGAGTTGAAATGGTTTGTGACTGGGAGGTGCAGTTGTTTAGTGCGAACCAAGCGTAGGTGTTTTGCAAAGCGCACCCCAAAACCAGCCCAGCTCGTCCCCGCCTCCCTAACCTGTCCTTCCTCCCACCTACCCCCGTCCTCCCTGGACTGACCTATCTCGCCCCTAACTCACCACCTACAATCACCTTTACTGGCTCCACCCCCGACTCTTTGACCTGGCTGTCTCCTCTCCACCTATCTTCTCCTCTATCCATCTTCTATCCGTCTCCCCCTCTCTCCCTATTTATTTCAGAACCCCCTTCCCCTCCCCCATTTCTGAAGAAGGGTCTAGGCCCGAAATGTCAGCTTTCCTGCTCCTCTGATGCTGCTTGGCCTGTTGTGTTCATCCAGCTCTACACCTTGTTATCTCAGATTCTCCAGCATCTGCAATTCCTACTATCTCTGAAGCATCTTTCTTTGTACCTTCTTTGAAAAGGTATATTCCAGAAGGGGATATGTGATAGTCTGTTCACTCACACAGCTGTTTTAACAACAGCATAAGACGGTGCACAGAGAACAGGCATGCATGAAGGATCTGACAGGCAATGCTCTTCTCACCACCTGGTAAGCTACGTCTTGGAGCTTATTGGAAAGTTCTGGTGATGAGGCATTCTGCCAAATGACTTTTTGACAGTCTGCTCTGGGAACCTTCCAACAGGATCAACCCACTCCTTTTCCTACAGTGTCTTGAGGACATTCTGGGCTGACCACTTCCTGATGGACACGTGGTCAAATATGGTTTTCTTTGCAAATTTTTCCATGAGGGTCAGATAGTACCAAACAGTCCAACTACTTGGAGCGTTCCACAGCAACAAGGCCAGACCATCCTTCACATCACTGGGACAGGTAGAACCTCAGTACAAAGTGATTCTTGGTGTTTGTGTACAGAGGATCATCTGTGCACAGCTTGATGCAGCCTCACACGAAGGTAGCCATCAGCATGAGTGCGGCATTGGTTACATCCTTCCTCCTTTTATCCACAGCATTGTACATAGCGTCTCTGCAAACACTTTGATCTCCAGATGAAGTGGAAAATGGCTCGGGTGACTGCTAAGGCACTGGCTTATTTCAAAAATATACTTTATTCATAAAAATATCTTTATACACATATATAGCGTCTAAAGTAGTTCAGGTCTGTATAGTAGCATACGAATAAACAAACAAACATTGGAGTTTGATTCTATCCAGCACGCAATCTAAAGGCATTTCTTACTTGAACAAGACTATATTTACATATATTTGAGAAAAGACGGCTTGATTGTTAAATTGGAGCCATCTGTCAACTATCTTCCTGGCTAGCAGAGTCTGACAGACCACACAGAGGACTTGAATCGATCAGATAGACAGGTGAACCTGCCATCAAAGTGGTTGTCCCTGTGAAAAAAGAGTTTAAAATCAGAGACTGTGACAAGATCTATTATAATAGGTAAAATCAGAAACTTGGGGAGTTGTAGCATTAGGGCTTAATTCTGATGATAGTATGCGAATGAGACAATGTACATGAACACAGAAAGTGATGCAATATCACAAAATCTTGCGCTCTTACAGCCTTATGGCAGGGTGAAGCCACAGTGACATGTTTCTTAAGTAAATGTTTTCCTTAACCTCAGCAAACTTTGTAATTATTCTTTAGTAGCACAGCATGGCCAAGAATATTAAAGAATCTACAATTTTCTAACTTGGAAGTGGGAGTGTTACTGAAGCGTTGTTAATATCAAACTAACTTGATGTCATTAAGCTGTAATTTTCTTGTATTCTTACATGATTTAAGATGAAAAGATCAAAAGGAATTACAAGCTGTCTAGAAAGAAATGGTGGGAGCTGATCTTAATGTGTGGAAGTTATTTGCTCAGCAGTAGAAACAGCAACATTTCCTAAGCTCAGCTACAGACAAACTGTTTAGCTGATTTAGAAGATACACTGAATTGTTTATCTCCAAGTTTTTGTCAACATTTGTATTGATTACATTAACATTTCAGATTAACCAGATTTTAGTAAGTATGTTAAGGGTAAAGGTCACCATTCTCACAACTGAACCAATGAGAGACACAGATCCTTTATCTGATAGAATATAAAAATGACTGATACCAGAAAAGTAGGACAGCTTTGAATTCTATTGTCACTACAACAGGTAATTGATCTGTAATGGTTTGTCATAAATGTTATAATGTAGCTATAGCATATTAATTCTGAGTAACTAGAAAGAAAGAGTAATCTAAAATTTAAGCAAGGCAGTTAGAAAAGAATATACAAACACGATTGAAAGTTAGGTGATTTGTAGATGGCGCTTTTATTACACAATTCAGTGGAATTTTTTTTGCTCTTGTCCATCTTTTACTTTTAGAATTGTGTACTCTGTATTCTCAGTATAATATTCATAATAATTAAAATGATATTGAAATTTAAGTCAAAAACAGAGAGACATGTGAAACTGAGAACAGAAAATTGATAACATTTATTGAAAATAAATTGAAAGAATTTCTAAGATTCTGTTCAAGTTGTTTGCCATAATAATCATAAACTATCAATGCTGCAAATGAAAGTTATAGAAATGCATTAGTTATGATCTCAGGTACAGTCATAAAATTGCAGTTTATTGCAGTTCTAAAGGAGTTGCTAAATTATCATTAAATGCTTCAGAAAGTGGTCCTATTTTTACTTGAATTGGCAGTAACTCAAATTTGTGAAATCTGAGATATAAATAAAAATGACTGCTGTTTATGCTTGGTATGGACGTAATTTAAAATTTCCAGTTTGATATTCTAAAAATGAGATGTGTTTATTAACATGTATAATAAATAATTGTTTTTATTCTTGTCCATTAGTTTTTGTATAGTTGGAGTTTTAAAAGGATCTAGGCACTGTTTATAACATCAAATGGTTTTGCTATATTGTTTGTAGTTATATTCCAAAGAATAGCAGGATAATGTAATTCAAACATGACAGATTCCTAGTTCCTACAGCACTTCTTTTATAAAAGGCAAATCACCTTTTGTCAGACTTGGTTTCTTAATGAAAATCAGGATATACAGTTCATTTGTATTAGCAAACTACGACAAGTGGAGTACCGCAAGATAAGCTTCAATTATTTATGATCTATATTCATGGTTTGCATAAACTGACTGTTCTGTGGCCAAATTTGTAGATGATGCAAAGAGCAAAGAGAGATGAATTGATATGTGATATATGACAGGTGGCGTATAATATGGGAAAAATACAAGCTTGCCCATTTTGACAGAATAGAAAAGCACTATACTCTTCAAGTGGAGAGAGTGCAGAATGATCTGGTGTGGAGAGATTTAGGTGCACATGTACATGATTCACAAAATGTTAGCAGGCAGATATAGCAAGTAGGTAGGAAGGCAAGCAAAATGTTGGCTTTTATTACAAGGGGGATGTTATATAAAATTAAGGAAGTCTTACTACAACTATATAGGGCATTAGTAAGACTTCACCTATTGTATGCAATTTTTCTTCTTGTTACATTGAAAGTAGTTCAGAGACAGTTCACTTGACTGAATCCTGATAAGGTTTGTCTTACGATGAAAGGCTGAGTAGGTTTAGGTCCATGGAGTCATAGAGTTATACAGCATGGAAAAAAACTCTTCAGTCCAACCATTCCATGCCAACCATAATCCCAAACTCACCTAGTCCCACCTACCTGCGCTTGGCCCATATCCCTTCAAACATTTCTTGTTTGTGTACTTATCTAAATGTCTTTTAAATGTTTAACTATACCTGTATCCACCACTTTCTCCAAAAGTTCATTTCACACATTAACCACTCTCTGTATAAAAAAAATTACCCCCTTGTCCTTTTTTAAATCTTTCTCCTGTCACTTTAAAAATATGTCCCTAGTCTTAACATTCCCCACCCTAGGGAAAAGACACCTGCCATTCACCTTATCTATAGCCCTCATGATTTTATGAACTTCTGTAAGGTCCTCCCTCAACCTCCTACACTTCAGTGGAAAACATCCCAGCCTATCTAGCCTCTCTTAATAATTCAAACTCTCCACTCCCAGCACTATCCTGGTAAATCTCTTCCGAACCCTCTTCAGCTTAATAATATCCTTTCTATAATAGGACGACCAGAACTGGACACAGTACTCCAGCACAGGCCTCACGAACATCTTGTACAACTTCAATACAACATCTCAACTCCTATACTCAAAGGTCTGACCAATGAATGAGTGCTAAACACTTTCTTAACCATTCTATCTATATATGATACAGACTTCAAAAAATTATGTAACTAAATCCTTATGTCTCTCTGTTCTACCACACTCTCCGAGGCCCTACTTTTAATTGTAAAAGTCCTGCCCTTGTTTGTATTACCAAAATGCAGTACCTCACATTTATCCAAATTAAACTCCATCTGGCACTCATTGACCCAATTGATTAAGATCTCTTTGTAATCCTAGACGACCTCTTCACTGTCCACTATACCACCGATTTTGGTGTCAGCCACAAACTTACAAACCATGCCTTCTAAATTCTCATCTAAATTATTTATACAAGTGACAACCAAAAGTAGAACATTTATTGTAATTTGCAAGAATGAGACGGATCTTATTGAAACGTATAAGATTCAGAAGGAGCTTGATAGAGCGGTGCTGAGAGGATGTTTATTCTTGTGGGGGAATCTCAAACTGGGAGCACAATTTAAAAATAATGGCATTGTATTTAAGATGGAAAACAGAAGTTTTCTATCTGAGGGTCAGTTGTATTTAGAATTCTCTTCCACAGAGCAATGGAGGCTAGGTAATTGAATATATTCAAGGTTAAGTTAGACAAGTTTTTGATTGACATGGGAGTCTGGGGTCACTGGGGGCAAGCAGGAAATGTAGTTAAGTATACAATCAGGTCAGCCATAACTTTATCATAATAGCAGAGCACGCTCAGTGCGCTGAATGTGCTGTTCCAATTTCTTTTGATCTTGAGTGACAATTAGAATTTTTGCCTACCTACTCACTCCTAGAAGGATACGGAAAAAAGCGAAATAACCAAAAATGGAGAGGAAAAAATTCTTTTGCTAGATAAATTAATTCTGTTATAATTCTCCAAACATGTAATTTAACAAAAAGATTTGTTGATCTTCTTCCTTCTCTTGAAATCCCAACCTTATTAAAATGTATAGAAATAATCCCTGGATAACTGGTATAATTGTTGATTCTAACTTTAGTAGTCTGGGCTCTGTGGTCCTCTGTCAGTTATCACATTGTACTTTCTTTGTTTCTGATTTTGTCACACCACCTCAGTCTTTGCACGCTGTGTTTCTGACTGTCTTTTCGTTGCGGCTCTGTTCTCTCTTTCTTTTCACAATATATATCTTCTGCACCCTGTCTATCACTTTACATTTTTATTCCACTCTAACATTCTGCATGTTGTCTCCAATAATTTGTTTTTCTTCTATTCTGTTGAGCCTTTCCTTTTTTTCCCTTTTCTGTAATGCCTCTCTACATGTTCTTCCTGCTTTCAATCTGTTTGCATTACTCTCTTGGTTTGCTGTCTGTTTTTCCTTCTGTATGTTGTTTATTTTTATTCTGTATTTGTGGCATATTTGTGGATTTTCCTGTTTCAGTGCATTCAGTACTGAATTTTTCTGAGTATTTCTTTCTGGATTAAAAATGAAAGAAGTGATGACTATTCTCCAAAAGGCTGACAAATACCTTATATATTTAAATCACCAAGGTGTTAGAATATGTTAGAAACTGACCTCAGACAAGGGATGTGATAAGAACATTTATACATTCAATAAAGTATTTTGAAGTCATAGCAAATGCACAAAATGGGTTAGTTTAATAACTACTATAAACATGTATGTTTGACTATTATTGATTCACTTCTCTAGCTATTACACAATAAATGCATAAATTTGTTAAAAGTCTGGATCAAGATGATAGCTTTGACAGGCGGAAGGTCCCATGGAAGCACAGAATAGATCAAGCTTCTGAACGTGATTACAAAGAGGTTTTCTATTTATTATCTTGGACCAAAATTGAAAACTTATGTTGGTTAAAAATGCACTGTAGAGATCTCATGAAGCTATGGCTTTTCTAATGAGGGTAACCTCATAATAAAGAAACAAAGGACTCCAGATTTAATATTCAGCAAGCCAAAAGGAATACATTACAATTCCACATCTGTTTTGCTTTCTTTTGCAGGTTGAAAACAAATGGCCATGCAGATCACATTTCTAACTATTTCTGTTGCAACATTCTTACTGGCAGTTCCTTGCTATGGAGACAGCTGTATATCAGGAATAAATCACAAAGCAGTGCCTGGTCCTGAACCAGGCATGAGGGAGTGCAAACTGTATTCTCAATGTAAGTTAAGGCGACTAATCCAAAGCCAAATCAAAGTTTTAACAGT